TTTTTTTTTTTTTAATACCAAACAGAGAAACAGCCAATAATGCAGAGGGCAGAGCAGCTGGTGGAAACACACAAGCCAGAATGGGGGGTGGGGGGCTATGAGGCGTCAGCAATAAAGGGGGGTGCTTCCCTGGGACTGGGAGAGATTAGAGATGGGGGGCACACACGTTTACAAAGCATGATGAATCCCGGAAAAATTCTAAGCACTTCCTCATCCAGAGGAACAGGATGGAACATGCAGCTATTTCATGACTGAGAAGTTCTGAAAGCTGCAATGATGGAGAGAAACCCAGAGGTGATAGCAGATAGAAAATTAGATATTGGTTTGCAGCACAGTATCATGTTATTGTTTAGGGGGGGTAGGGGAGAAAAAATTAATTTTTTAAATGGGGAAAGTCCACAGATGCCATGGTTAGAAAACTGCACTCTCACTGGCTGCATCATTATCTCGGATATACTCAGGAAGAGAAGAAGAAAAGCAAAAAGAATGATGAAAGACCAGAGACTAATAATGGAGACAGCAAGGGACATAATGCATGTGACACACGGCTGCCTTGACTCCAGGAGAAGGTGGGTGAGCAGGTGGTGACATACTGGGGAGACGGTCACATCAACACAGGGTAGAGGTAGCTTTGCATGGAGCCCTAACCAAGGGAAGTTAAGGGACTGTTATTGGGGTTGAAATCCAGGAACCCCTAAACACATATGCTACCGGGGAGCACATAAGGAACAGCCCTGGCAAGTGCCATTCCCTTTTCCTGGGATGTTCTTCCTCTTAAACTGCCATGACCAGCAACTTCCATAATTCATGTCTCAGCTTAGGTGTCACCTGCTCAGAGAAGACTTGACCTTTCTAATGGAACCAGTCTTCCTGTCACTTGTGCGGGTCCCTGTAGACCTCTTATCTTAACTTTATCGATTGCACATGAAGCAATATGAAATGACCTGCCTCATGAAATTCTTTGCTTCCTTAGGGTCTGACTCCCCTGCTAGGATGTTTGCCCCACAGGATCAGGGGTCTGGTCTGTCGTCTTCACCATGGGATTCCGCAGGCTAATTATTCCAATAACTATTCATACTCATAAGCTAAGTGTGAGACATTTCTCCATGAGCTTACTGAGGCCACACAACAACCAGATTTTATTACTTCCATTTATCTTTTAAAAGAAGACATCTGAGGCCCCGAGAACGCGGGTGGTTTCAAAGTTTCCAAGCTGTAGTTAGTAGGGCTGGGATTTGAACCTAGGTTCTCTAGCTATAGCGTCAACACTCTGAACCACTGTACCATCCAGCATGTACACAATAAACATGTACTGAATAAATGAATCAGTGCATGAGCGTATCAGGATTTGCATTCAGAACATCTGCCTAGAGCAGGCAGCAAAAAGTATAGGGCAGTTTCTCCATCTCTGTTCAGGGTGATTGACAGTCTTCTGGAATCCACCACCCAGCCATCATCCAACACAGAGGTGGTCCCAGGGCTGATGACATACCTGTGTGGTGCTGAAGAGAATCTCCATGCCCTGAGCTGCCAGGAAGGCCTCCCTGCCAGACTGGAGGGCGGCAATGTGCTTGAGGCAGAGCAGAAGTGCCCGGCGGATGGGCATGTAGGCATTGGTTGTGTCATGGCTGTGCCAGTCCTGGTGTAGCCTGAGCAAGCTGCTGACATAGCCTCTGTTCACTGCCCTGCGGCTGTTAGACTCTGAAACCAATGAGAAAAGATGATGTCAGTCACAGGTTCTCTTGGGGACACCTCAATGTCCCAGGGTACCTCCCGGAAGATACTTCTTAATTATAAAGGGAATAACAATATTGGGTTGTTGGGAAAGTCATGATGTATTTTTCCTGTTTTTTGTTGCAAAAATGCGTCATGACTTTTCCGACAACCCAATAACTTTCCAGTGGAGAAAACTGGCAGATGTCACCTTAATCCAGTGATCAAAGTCAACATCACCAGATACAGTGATGCACTGAGAAAGACCCTGCATTGCTTTGATGGTATTCCTGCCCAAAATATATCACCTGAATTTAACTGAGGAAAACCAGCCAACCCAAAATGAGGGACATGCTACAAAATATCTGATCCATACTGTTCAAAAAAATGTCAAGGTCATGAAAGGCAAAAAAGAAAAACAGATTAAGGAATTGAGCCAAAGGAGACAAAAAGTCATGAACGACACTTAAGGAAAATACATAATTAACATTTAGATCCCGGGACAGAAAGCATTTTTCTTTCTCTTGCTACAAAAGTCCATTGGTAAAATTTGACTGAGGTCTGTAGATTAAGTAATAGTATCGTATCAATGTACATTAGATTTTGATAAACTGGTTATGTAAGAAAATATCATTTTTTAAAGGAAATTCAGAGCTGGAGAATGGAAATGTCTGTAAGTAATTATGAAGTAGTTCAGAAAAAAATAATAGTGTGTNAACTCAGCTCGCTCACATCTGTTTCCAAGTCATCATCCTACAATGGGATATTCGAAAAAAATAATTCCAACCAAGAACACCACCCTGAGAAGCATCAAAACAAGCCACAGAGGTGATTCTTCACGATTTCCTTGCCTCCAAATGATAGCACTAGCCTATGCAAAGGATAATTTAATAGGTCTGGTTGTATTTCTAAAATAAAAAGAAGACCTACAACGTGTCTCAGCATGTATGCCAGTATTTATCAGCCCTCATCACCAATAAATAATAATTTATGTAAAATGAGATGAAGTATGTAAGCATAATAAAGCACAATGTGAAAGAAATTTTTTTTATTTCATTACCACTATCAACGTAATCGTAATTATCAAACGTATTCATCCATCTACCACTGCCATTTAAGTTCTTCACGCCCCCCACGATGTTCGCTCAAAAGTATGGCGCTCATCAAACGAACGCTAGCGTTATTCATCGTATTACAATTTGAAGACAGTTTTTTCCTTACTTAAAATGCGTATACATTTGTTTTTTGGCACCCTCTGTATTTATTTAGGGGTGGGCCTGCTTCTGTATCCTCACAGCACCCCAGACAGTCCTTTGCCACCTAGGATTCCGGTATCCATCTCATCAGATAATGCCTCAGGCCTTTCCTCTTCAAATTGGACTCTTCCAATATTGACTTTTCTCAGCCTTAGATTTGAGCTCACCACCCTTTTGAAGGTGGTGATTTGAACTCTGCTAGAACAATCCCCATGTTCACTCGACTGTGAACGCTTTCAAAATAAAACCTATGTTTTATTTCATTTTGTATCATGTTACCGACCCTGAGCGCTTAGCATGCTGCCTCATGCATGGGTTATATCCAAGAAAGTACCTGAAAAAAAAATAAAAACTTAAAAAGGAAGGAAAGAAATTCACTCTGTTTACCCTCCTATTCTTCTGAGTCTGTCCAAATCTATTGGTTATGTTAATAAAGAAAAAAAAAAAACGTGGCTAACATCTAGTCTTTATTTGTTGCTGCTAAGTTTCTCTTTTCTTATGTTGCCATTGACAATTTTAAATCAAAGACAGCACCCAGCTTTTCCCCCTGAAGACCCTTTACAGAAAAAAAAAAAAAGTTCCTTTTAATCATTCTTTCTAAGAAACTCGTCCCGATTATTACGAACTAAGCTTTTCAAATGACAAAGCTACCAGGTGAAGTCCTGGGTCACTTTTGTGATGAGAAACAGATACGTCTGGCTTTTTGTCCGCATTTCTTTGCTGCAAATACTGCTGGGCTCACCAAGGAAAACGCAATTGGTTGGCACACCCGTTCCCTGACACCCCAGAACCCAGCCGTGATTCCAACGCCCCTCTGTTTCTCTACAACTCATGCTCTCGCTGATTTCTCAGCATCTTCTTGGCTTGAAGCTTTTGACGAATAGTTTCCAGGCCCTTGGCAATTTGTCTGGTGCTTCTTTCCCTGCTGGATTTGTTTATCTGTTTCAGTTCCACTCCACCCCAATCTGCCATGAGCTACAAGAGTAGGGACTAGGGAAAATATCTGAAAGCCCCCCGCCCCCGACCACCACATGCTGTGTGAGGCTAGGCACTGGCTGTGGCTTGTCCCTCCACATCAGGTACCAGAGGTGACTGACGCTCTGCATTAGATGTTCAGTTATCAAAGCACAAGCAAGAGGGGAGGGGAAAGTGGCATTGATGAATGGCTGCGGCAGCACAGTATTATTCAAATAATTCAGCAAGGACTCCATAGGCCTGCACTGCCAAGCTACAGCAAAGAACCAATTTGCTACTGATGACTTCAGAAATGATTCTATTTATCAACAAAACCCTGAGAATGCCAGAGTGTTGATAGCAGTCTTAACCTAGAGACCTGGCTAGGAGATGGTCCCGATATGTCTGCTACTATCATCAGCAAGGTGAATGGTTATTATGACAGAGAAATGCAAACGTCTCTTTCTCTCTAGATAGATAGGCAGGTGGGTAGGTAAGGAGAAAGGGCGGGAGAGGGGAAGATGGATGGTGGATGGATGGATGGATGGATGATAGGTTGATGGATGATAGATTTATAGATGATAGATAGATTGATGATAGATATAGATTTTTTTTTAATTCAGGTTTCATGTCCAGGAATGTCATGAAAGGTAGCATTTAATTCTCAGTCTTATTTTGTAGACAACAAAATTTAAGGAACTATAACTTAAAGGGGCTTGTCCATGTTCACGTCTACCAACAGAAATTGCGACAGAATTAAAACTCATACATAAAGCATCCATTATTCTAGAACGGGGGTTCTCAGTCAGGTATGATTTTGCCCCCCTGGAGGCATTTGGCATTTCCTGAAGACCTTTTCGGTCCATGACTGGGGGGCAAAGGAGTGGGTGCTACCGGCATCTAGTGGGTAGAGGCCAGGGATGCCACTAAACATCCTACCACACACAGAATAGCCCCTACAACAAAGAATGATCCAGTGAAAATGTCAGTAGGACCGAGGTTTAGAAACCTTTTCCTAGAAATGCCATCAGTATACTATGTCCCACTGCCTGTTTTTGTAAATCAGGCTTTACTGGAACACCGCTATGTCCTATTGTTTATGCCTCTCCTATGGTTGCTTCTGTGTGACGATGACAAAGGTGAAGGGTTGCGATGGAAACTGTGGGCCACAAAGCCTACAGTAATCACTATCTGACCATCTGTAGAACGTTTGCTGACCTCTGTTCTATAGCACAGGTCACTATGGGATGGAGACCAAAGGGCATTACCTCCCTGGTGCCCAGGGTGTGTACCGTGCAACTCAAGGCAACACAATTCACACAGATTCCGAGGTAAATGGAATTGTACGACGNAAAATCTTTAAAAAAAAAAAATTTAAAAGAAGAAAGCCAAGATTTGCACCAGGAAGGAGAAAAACGGAACCCTTCCCTACCTGCCTTTCTCTTTCAATTGACCTGTGAAACACCTGTCTGTCGGTGGCCTCACCTGCTTCGGGCCGGGGCACAGAGAAGCCACGTGAACTGCAGGAAAAAAATCTGCACGGTGTTGCAAACGACACGCTGCATCCGGGCCTCCGGACCCTGAAGGTTCACCTCTGCGCTCCTGGCCTGCGGCCCACATCATCCAACGGCATAACGCGATAAAATCGCGGAGCCATGAGCCCGTGCCTCCTCATTTTCCCTCCCCTCTCTCTCCTGCCTCTCGCAGTCCCTTGTCCTGCCACCTGGACTGTGCAGCAGCGGCCTCCTACGTGGCCCCTAGGCCCCCTGGCCTCTCCCAATGCCCAACGCATCTCGGGGGCTGTCATCCCCTCCTCAAACTAGGTAATGGCTCCAGGGAAGTCGGAAGGTCTGAGGGACCCAAGAGGGGTGTGATGGTCTCTGGGCCTCACTGCATGGGGGGCAGCGGTGGCCATGGTGTGTGTCCCTGAGACTGCGGTGGGGACGGCTTAGGGAGAGGCTGAGTGGGGTCCCGAACCCCTATTGCCACCAGAGCAGCTTCACTGACATCTGCTTACAGGCAACGCCTCTGCTTACAGGCAACGCCTCTGCAAAGGACTTCATTTAAAAATTAAAACTGTTGTTATTTCTTTTTTTAAGAAAAGGACACAACTTGAAACCCTCTGCTAGTGAAATGAAGGGACAGATTTCTGTCCCAGTGGGCCCAGCACACATTACACAGTCTTGAGCAAGTCAACCAACCTCTGAGCCTCAATGTTTTCTCTATACAACAGTTTCCCAACCGTGCACTCTTGACATTTGGGGATGAATATTATTTCTTGGGGCGAGGGGAGGAGGGGAGGTTTATCCCATGCATTGTCATATGTTTAGCAGCATTCTGGCCTCCACCCAAGAGATGCCAGGAGCACCCCCAGCCCCGCAGATGTGGCAGCCAAAAATGTCCCCAGACCTTGCTCAACAGTCCCTCGGCAGCGAAGTCGCTCATGCAGAGAACCACTGCTATAGAATAGTCAAATAGTTACACATTTCCCTGTCTTGCAGGACTCGAGTGAAGATTAAATGAGATAATATACCAAAAGGTGCATTGTTAACTGCTATTATTAGAATGCCCGACATACATCTTGACATAAACAAATAATTGTACAGCCAGCCCCGAATGCGACGACGAAGCCACTGTTCCCCAGTGTAGGTGTTTGTCTTTTTGTCTCACTCTTTAAATCTCTGCAATGCTTCATCTTTGTCAGTCCATCGCCAGCCATTCATTATACCAGGATGAAGTTCTAAAATCTAAAACATTCAGAGCTCAGCCATCCTGAAT